GACTCAAAGTTCAGCTTTTGTCTCAGCTTTCCACAGAACATTTTACATAAGTCTCAGGGATCATCAAGATGTTTTTCGGCAAATGTGAGACGACTTATCGTGTTGCTTTCGGCCAGCAGTGGTTTTCTTCTTGGAACTCCAATGAAAGCCATTTTTGCCCAGTCTCAATGCGCTCTTAGAGTAAATTTTGTAGGCCGACTCCTAGGAAGGTTCACCACTGTGTCTATCACCGTGGTTCTTTGGAGTCCAAAGCCTTAGAAATGGCTTGTTTAACCCTTTCCAGACCGATAGATTAAGTGACTCAATGGTTCAATTCTCATATGTATTTGAGTTTCTTTTGATTGTGGGCTGATTGTTTTCAAGATCTTTCCCTTTGTGAGGCAGGTTCCATTTAAGTGATTGCTTGACTCAACAGGACCGGCAGTAATCAGGCCCGAGTGCGGCTGCTGAAACTGAACTCTACTTTCCAAAATAAAAATGTGGCTAATCACAGTTAATTCATGATTTAACAATTGGGGCAAAAACACAGGGCTAAGTAGGTTTGCATAGTTTTTTTCCCCTCAAATAAAATCATCATTTAAAAACTGCATTTTGCAGTGACTCTGGTTTTCTTTGTCTAATAACACAATTTGTTTGATGGCCTGAAATATCTAAGTGTGACAAATCTGCATTTAAAACAGGAAAGAAAGAAATCAGAAACGGGGCAAATGCTTTTTCAAGGCGCTACACATAGAGTAGATTCTCATGTTAATCTAAAAAACTTTAAAAAGTACCTCATATCATGACATGCCACACCCACCTCCTCATATAACAGGGTGCTGCAGCTGCAGACCAGGACAGCACATCTGCGGCCCTCCCCACAGGCCTAAACTTTTCATCGGGCTGTTTGCGCTCTCTCTCTCCTTGCTCAGACTGACACATGTTAACCCTGCCTAGCTTTATGCAAGGGAGTGTGCTGTGTTTTCCTTTCAGTTTGTTTAAGAGATTAAGCTGGTGAACCCTAACCCAGGGAGTCCCCAGAGTTCATACCAGCAGTAGCAGAATACTCTCCACCCTTTGATGACAATGAAATTTATTTTTCACAATATTCATGTCAATCAACACATGACAGTTTGTGCACCACAGAAACGTAGGGAAACAAACGACTTTATAAAGGTGGCTTTAAAACTATTCCAAGTATTGCTACCAATTTCAGTGAACGATCTCTATGTAAAGAGTTGGTTATTCCCGTCTCTCGGGTTGTGCCCAGGCTTTATGATGATAGCTTATATTTTGCATGCTGAAATCACAGGAGGGCCTTTGTCTGGACAACATTTACATCTCTTAACACAGCTGGCACGGCCAACCACTGGCACAAAACAAACAAGGAAGCAAGATAGAAAAACAACTCATAGGTTAAGTTACCACTAAAGAGGTCTTTTAGTGTTAAACATCAAAACAACATGGACCATTTTGGACTTTTTAAAATAAACTGAGGTCGGCTTTAAAGTAAACTTTGAATATAAAGAGGAAAAAATATCTGTTTTGACAGTTTTGGTTACTGAAAATAAATACAGGCCAATTATAGAACAACAACAAGATAACTGTGAGTAATGTATATTGATACACTCATGTTACTGTTTTTTTAATAGTTGTAATGATATTAGTTAAAATATTTGAAACAATGTCATTTAAAGTATAAATATTTTGTGCAGCAGATTTTTTTTCCTGCCATTTCAGGATAGCTCACCAAATTTAAAATAATATGTATTTGAAAACAAAAATAATAAAATGAAATCAGAATTCACTCCACAAAGTATGCAGACTTTGACAGAGGGGAACAATAGAGCAGTAGAGAAGTTAGGTATGTTAGAGCATGTGATGTTTAAGGGGGCGTGGCCCTTCAGGTTGTCTCTGCAGGTAATACACTCTTCAGGTAAAGCTAAGTGACTCATTCGCACACACACCTTAAGCACAACAATTGGCACTTCAACTCTTCACCTTAAACCGACTACACTTTACGGGAATAAACTGAGTAAAGACCCGCATTTAACGAAAGAGGACTTCACAGAAGAGCCGTTACTTCCACTGCTTTTGAAGAACTGCTGAACTGTTTGGACCCAGGACCCTGAGCATTTACAATCGAATGCAAACTTGGAGCAGGACTGCATATCAGACAGATCTCCTGTTTTGATTTGCACTGTCAGGGTACTGCCTACTAATTTGCTTTCTCTGACAGAGGGAACAACGTCAAAGCTGTGCCACTACTTCTGCCGTGCAGCTTTTCCAGTAAGTAATCTATCTCTTTCTTTTGAACTGTCCATGACAATGCCAGTGGTCAAAGTAGAGAAAGACTCTCCAGCAGATACCACCTTGCTTGCCTCCAATCCTCCACCGCAGACAGAGGAGCAGCCGCGGGGTCGGAGGAGGAAGAGACCTCTCCAGCGCGGGAAACCACCATACAGCTATATTGCCCTCATCTCCATGGCTATTGCCAACTCCCCTGACCGCAAACTAACACTGGGGGGTATCTACAAATTCATCACAGAGCGCTTCCCCTTCTACAGAGACAATTCGAAGAAATGGCAAAACTCCATCCGCCATAATCTGACTCTGAATGATTGTTTTATCAAGATCCCTCGAGAGCCAGGACGACCTGGGAAAGGCAACTACTGGGCACTGGACCCAAACGCTGAGGACATGTTTGAGAGTGGCAGCTTTCTGAGACGCAGGAAGAGGTTTAAGCGCTGCGACCTGAGCACATACACTTCATATGTGCATGAAACACCAGTTTTTCCCCCCGTTCAGATTACCAGACCAGCTGCGTACACCAACTCAGTCTATCCCAACATGACACTCAGTCCCACATATGGACAGCAGCTGCCCTCTGCCTACTATCCCTCTTCGTCGCCTCCGGGGTTTGGGCACAGTCAGACCCGCATGTTCAGCATCAACAACATCATAGGACACCCGACTCCAGCCAGCATGCTGGCAGGTCAAGGACCAGAGGTGATGCAGCAGCAAAGCCGGAGCTTCAGTCCCGAAGGGCTTCCGAATGGATCCAGTCCCTGCAGCTTGGGAGCTCCGGGTTTCCAGAGTCAACCGTGCGGGGGATCTGTGCCACCCCGCTCCTCTACACATCCGGCGTTCACCTACTCTGGACAAAACAGCCATTCGCACCAACATGCACACCAGGGCTCGTACGGACAGGGTCACACCCAGGGCATGGGGTACGCTGCAGGAGGACGGATCCACCCCTCAGCTCACGGCCCTGCAGAAACAGTGGATCATTACGGCAGGGTCTCCCCAGTGCAGCTGGGGTCTTTCTCCCAGTATAACAGCGCTGCAGGTCCTATTGGAAACACTGGGGGATACCTCAGACACCCCACCTACCCGGGGAATATGGACCGTTTTGTTTCTGCTATCTAAGCTACTGAGAATGTAAAGCCCAGCTTCTCACTACCTTTTATTTTTTGTTAGGTTTTTTTTTTTTTAAACAGAGACTCGTGACGGCACCAAATGAGCCAGACATTTCTGTGCACAAAATCCAACTGCTTTATCTTTGTTCGTGATGTTTATCAAGGACAAAACTGAGCAGACTGACCTCTCTTAACACCACTGTGATTTTCTGAATAATTGTAGAAACCATTTTCACTGCTGATAATAACTTACTTTAGATATCCATTAAGCTGTTTTGTTTTAATGTCTAGGCCTTTTTAACAGCAAGTATGTGACTGTAACATACATATAATTTTGTGTGCTGATATTTTTTTTTTTTTTGTTAAAACTGGAATGTGCCAGTTGAATATTTTACACTTCCGTTGAGTTTAAATGAATTGTTTGTATAAATTATTGTGCTTCGTGGTCATAGGCTTTGCAGCAAAGTGGCTTGTGTGAAAAAAAAATATCAGCTTGTATTTTGTTGCCAAGTAAATATGCATTTTTAGTTTACTGTTCTTGGAAATAAACAATGATAAAGCACCTTTGTTCTATAAGAATAAAAGATTTTAAATTTGTGATGAGTGATTGCAGTTGAAGGAGTTGTGAAAGAAGAAATTTACACCATATGAGTTATATTTGTATCAGCTATAAGTGAATTCTAATTTTAAGTCTTATAAAGTAACGAGGGCCAAAAGGTCCAGGTCAAGGTCAGATTTATTTATATAGCACATTTCCAACAGCCGATGCTGCACAAAGTGCTTAACAATAACAATAAGGTCCAGACAAAATTAAAGCAGGAACACACACACACAAAAATAAGTCCAACCCTCTTTCTTTTGTGCTTCTAATGCTTTCTGGGTCAGCTCAGCCGGTTTGAAGTGCCGTCTGGAGCCACACCAGTAACCGTGACCGGTCTCAGCCGCATGTCGAGACACCAGTGCAGCACTGGGCCACATGCAAATCCACTAATCAAGAAAATGAATAGACTTGCCACTCGATGCTTCATGCCTTTGCGTTAAGACCACATAATACCAGAAACCTCTTCCACACAAACCCTGCAAATCGGACGAGATGAGACACAAAGAAAACAATTAGAGCTAAGACAATTGATTTTTTTTTTTAATAAGAAAACAAAAGGAAACCTTTGGTGATTGATGCAGCTTGCTTTTATCTCCAGTTTAAAAAGTTTTCTTTTACCGCTTCATGCTGTGAAAACCCTTGGAATAAATAGAAAAGTTTTTTTCATGGCCTTGTAAAAACAACAAAAAATGGAATACCACTTTATTTCAACTCTGCCGCTTACTTTGTTGCACCTGGGATGATGGCACACACCTCCTTAAAAAGCAGAAGACGTGGCAGTAACGTGGCATTTACACCCACTCGCACTGTAGTTTAATATGAATGAGACATGGGGCTCCATCTTTTTCAACTTTTGATGTTAAGTGAAAAAGCAAGATTCTCTCTTTTAAAACTGCAAATCTTTGTACACCAAAGAACTATCACTAGACCCAAGATGCTATAAGAGAAAAAAAAACATTTACATGTTCAGCATGTGTGTTCAGTGTCCATAAAAGATATGGTTAATATCAGCATTATTTTATTCTCAAATAATTATTTTATTCTCAAAAATACAAACATTTAGAAGGCAGACAAGCTAAAACATGAATAAACACACACGAGGGAAATAAACACATCAGCCAATGTATTCAACGAGCTGCCGGAGCTGTTCACAGTTCTTCACAACTGCCGGCAACGACAGCAAGGTCTGTGAGGCAAAAAGGAAAAAGCAGCACATTATGGCAAACATCCAAACAGACGCTGCGGTTTACAGAATATGTTCCATGGTATGAAACATTTCTCACCTCCCGAACTCTGTTGATCATGTTGTTTAATATCTGAAGCTCGTTCTCACTTTTCTGCTGGTTGCTCTGATAGATGATTTGCTGTAAGAGATGAACATCCTCATGAACGCTCACATGGCTGGCAAGAAGACCATCTAATGTTCCTCTAAGTCAATAAATACTGTGTGAATGCTGATATGTAGTCAGGAACGTGATTGATGCCGGGTACGGTCAGGACTTACATGTCTCTTTGCCCTTTCAAGAATTTTTACTTTGGCCTGCTCGGCTTCCTGAAGACTGGCCTTCAGTCTCTCCACCTGGGGATCAAATGGAAGTTTATGAGAAAAGAGGAGGAGGGGGGGTCCCTTTAAGCTGCAGTGTTTCCTCAACAACAGGCTGAAAAGTCAAGTTTACTTATAAGCACATTTAAAAACAGCTGCTGTTGACCAAAGTGCTGTACAACTTAAGTAACATAATAAAACCATAAAACTGATCTAACAAGAAAACATGAGTTTAAAATAAATAAATAAATAAATAAATAAATAAATCCAAACTCGGTCAATTTTAAAACTTGAAAACTATGGAAATACGTAATAAATAATGCTTCTGATAAATCATACCTCTTTCAATGACTTGATGTTCTCTTCCATGAAATGTTCCGGTTTAGTCGACTGGCCGCCAGCTTTCCTCAATTCATCCCGAAGGAATTCAGACTCCACCTTCGACTGCTGGAGAGCGCGACGAAGCTCAGTGATTTCCCTTCTCAATTCCTGGAGAAAACGTTCATTTGCATTTAAACAATAACTACAAGAATACGTAGTAGCTTAGAAACACCGGCAGTATTATTTTGGTGCCTTACATTATTGTCAGTCTTCTGTTTATTTAGGATTTCCTGTGTGTCTTGCACTTCAACTATCAACTTAGCCAGCATTTTCTCATCCTGAAAAAAAAAAAAAAAAAAAAAAAAAGAAACAGAGTTTTTCTCTTCCATCGGTCAGCCGTCCTCCGCACCCATCCTGATCTTTCTTATCACAGATGAATAGAGGACAAAAGATGTCCAGCAAAAGTCATCCTTACCTGAGTTTTCTGCTGCAGAGCCTGATTTGCCTTCTCGACCAGCTGACTCAGACGGCTGAGTTGATGCTTGAGCTCAAAAACCTCAGCTTCATGTCCGTTCTTTGCAGCACGCTGCTCCACCTGCAGGCCACAGCTGGAATAACACATCAGATAACAGTTGGGGGGGGTTTAAAAAGAAAAAAGCAACAAGATAATTGGATTACATTTGATGTTAATGTACAAAACAACAACTTTCGAAAAAATCATTTATTTCACTTTGTTTTTAAAAATAAATAAAATGAAATAAAATAAAATAATAATTTAAAAAAAAATAATAATTTTACATTACAGCTTACATTTGGCCATGCAGCTCCTCCAGCTGAGCGTCTCTGCGCTGCTGCACCAGCTTCAGAGTGCTGACGAGCTCGGTGACGGTGCTGCCCAGGCCAGTAAGCAGCTCCGCCAGGTGGCTTTGCTCCTCTTCCTCTGGTTGAATCTCGACTGTGCTCATATTCTTTTTAGGAGTGATGGCTGCGATGCGGGTGAAGGCGCTCATCTCGCTGAACAAAGCTTCACGCTGTGGCTCGAGAGTGTCTGAAGGGACTGAAGAGAAAGTAAAACTTAGTTGTTTCTTATTATTATAATTACATTTTAGACTTTTATTATCTGTTCCATTTTTTATTACAGTCCCTGGTGGCTGTGCAGATATATTCCCACCTGAAAATGATTCCTATAAGAAAAACGTTGCCCACTACCTCCTTTATCCAAGGGAAAAACAGGATGAATTGAAGTGCATGTGTAGCTCATATAGAAAAGTTGGTAAGAAAAGGACCATTGAAGAAAGAATTTTTATATTATGCAATCATATTATTGATGCCTCCTTGAGAAAAAAAAAAAAAGACCCAGTTCTTTTGTTTTTTGGTAACGCACCACTAAGCCTTCAAACAATGAAATTAATACCTCCTTTTCATAAAGGAGACACATACGACATGCTGAGCACGTATTCAAATCATGTTTGAGACATTCAAATCACACTGCTCTCTGAGGGAATCTCAGCGTGACTATTTAAAGAGACTTGCTTGCAGCTAGCTTAACAACATAATTACGCTGGACCACATTACAAGTGAACTAAAAACTTTTTGAATTTGAAATTTGAATAGTTTGATCTTCATCAAACTACAGACAGCGTAATCTGTATAAACAAACAGCTGTACTTTCCATGTGAAAACACACAGTGATTATTCATAGGCCTAAAAAAGAAAGTGAACCTCCGTGCTAACAACTTTCATAGAAGTCAAGTGTTTGTGCATTGTGATTTGCAGGAGGTGACTCACTAACACGACTATGTAAAGTCTGGTTACTGAGAAAGCCTGTTCTTCTTAATGAGGAGTCGCAGCACCGTAGATGAAGCGTTACAAGCTAGAAAAGGTGCTCATCACTCCACAAGTGGATGCAAAGATCCCCATGGCAACTTGTAAGGCTAAAGAAAACCCCAAAAGTAGGAGCATATGCATGAAATCTCATGTGTCGACTTTAAGGAAGATACAGCAAAGGAATGTGCTGTTATCCAAAAAGACAGGTCACTATGGGACGATGTTATGTGGACAAATGAAATGACAAGTCTGGAGGAAACATGCCATCACACACCACCAGGAGGGATCAGCCCGGGTGCAACACCGGGGTCTGACAGTTCAGGTATTGGCTCAGAGTCCTGACCTTAACCCAGGTGAGATGTAGTAACCTGATCAACTGAAAGAGTGGAAGCTTCATTAGCAGTTACAATAACATCTGATGGAGCTTGTTGCTACTAAAATGAGATTCTATAAGTGACTAAATTCAACCAGCTCGACCATGTTTTCCAGCTTCAACTCTGTGTTTGAGTGAGTGATGTGATCAGAATCACAGTGCCTCCTGTTGTGTTTAGGATGAAAAACAAATGCTGACACGTTATATTTTTTTAATAATCAATTTAAAAGAGAAAAAGAAAAACTAGCATCTTACTTATGAGTGAACTGACACACATGGGGTGAACAACAGTACCTGTTTCAGCAGGAGTGTCTGTTTTGACCTCTTCCTCTCTCTCAGCAGTTGAGGCACAACGCTCCACGCTGTGGACTGACTGAGACTCTTCACACATCTGTGGTTTCTGAAAAGTAAGACATTTAAATCCAAGTGGGAAAAGACATGCAGTACTGCATCTATAGCATAAGTTCAATAGTAAATGATGTTACAACATGATTTATAAATACTGTAAACAGTTGCTTCTGATGTCCAAATTACAACTGCAAATGTCAAGAGCTCACAGCCACAACGACGCATTCTTTTAATTTAATTTCAAAATTAAGCTTTGCATACTCTATGCATTTGCATTACTTGTCGCAGATCATCTGCACATACAGTGGAGTCCATATCAGGGCCCAATTAAACTAACATCTGTGAAATTGAGCTTCCAGCTGCATCATTTCACCATTACCAAAACTAGTAAGTTTAGACAGGCAGTCACAAAGCACTGTACACGAAGGTTAAAATAAAACAGAACATTAAAATAAAACATAGAACATTAAGTAATAAAATAGACAATATAAAAAATACAAAGGATAAATTGTAACTATGCTTTTAATGGGCTGTACAAAGCAAACAGAAAGGGGAAAGAAGCCTGTAACAAATACTGATATTCAATGAGCTCCATCCACATCCAAACAACTAAAACAGCAAAAGATTAAAGACCAAGAAAAACAGGCTCCGCAAAAGGATATAAAAGCTAAAAGCCGGCAACTCAGATTCTGAAACTGACCAAAATTCACTGAACCAGCACCAAAAGATCAAAACTACACTTCACGTACAACTGTTTTGCTTCCACCACGATTTAAAAAAAATAAAATAAAATTTAAAAAAAAGAAAAGAAAAAGAAAAAGAAAGAAAAATCTCTCTCTCTCTCTCTCTGTGCTCGAGACCAGTTTCCAATCAAAAGTGTTTATTTTCTACTTTATTCCCTTGCATATTACGCACCGGTCTCCTGTTGTGGACAGTGTTGTCTGCCTCTCGTTTTTGTTGTTTGTTTTTCCCCTCCAAAAAAATAACTGACAAGAAACTAATTTCTGCTGTTCAATACTGAAGAAATTTCAACTTTTACAAATTATGCCAAATTTCAAACGCTTAACTATGCCTCTAATAAAGCGTCTGAAACTTTGCTCTGCAGCATCAGGTAATGTTGATATGCTGTTTCATGGTTTTCTTCAGTTCTCGATCTACTGCAGAATATTTTCAAGGGATTTATCTGCTATAACAGACCAGGCTTAGAAAAACTCCTTCATATTTTCTGTTTTATCCTCAGTAACTTTGACACGATGGCATCTGCTGTGGTGCTTACACCTCTGATTAAGTGTCAGCTTTATTTTTATACCTAGAAAGTTTACACTGAGTTTATAATTCCAGAGAATCAGTCAAGTCGCTTTGGGCGTGTCATTTTCAAGCAGAAACCTCAGAAAAGCTCCTGGGGCTCAACAGGTTAAATAAAAAGTGCAATATTGTAACTGCTTTAGATTCTGTTCTTAACTTCCAAAAAGTATGTATCGAATTTAGAGGGTTCTTTCGACAGTACATACCCAAGATAAATGATCTTGGATGATAATATTTCTGACCAAGTCAAAATCTAACTGAATGGAATCAAACCTTGTGAATCAGAATTGAATCTGTTGTAGGAATCAGTGACAAAACCCGGGCCTAGTTCTGATATTGTTTTACCTTTTCATCAAGTTCTTCATGGAGCTTGTTGGTCAGTCCCCTCAGTGTGTGATGCAGCAAAGTGATTTCTGTGACCGCCTGAGCCATCTTCTCTTCAAGCTCCAGGTTTGCTGTCCTGGCTCTGGACCTTGTGGCTTTAAGTTCTTCCTGCAAATTCCCGTTCTCAAGCCTCCATCACACAAACACACAGAGGCAAGTTATCATTCAGTGTGCCAACAAAATGTTAAACATCATGAGAACAATTTGCACTAAGATTTATTATTACAAACATAAGGCCATAAGGCAAAAGACTCCAGTCCAGAAAATATGTATGTGAGTATTAATCCTTGAACATTTTACAGTTTTTCCTGTTGATATAGACCTGCCCCCACAGCCATTCATACTACCCCATCATAGTTAAGAACTAGAAAAGTGGGCTGTATGTAGCCCTCGATGTAAAATGAGTTTGACATCCCTGATCTAAGAAACTGAGCACAGACAGACAATTTTGTTCTATTTAATCCGAAAGTTTTTTCAGGCTCAGTTTGGGCTTTTCAAGCACATCACCCTCAATGGCTTATTTATACTTACTTAAGTTGACAAACTTCTTTCTTCAGGTCCTCACACTGGATGTTCCTCTCCCGAAGGCTCTGCAGGTTTTCCCTTAGCATACGCTCACTTTCTGCCATCTGCTCCCTCGCCAACTCGTTCTCCATCTGTAGGAACTGATGCACACAGACAGCAGGAAAATTAAACCTAACATCCTCCCCTCAAGGTTAAGTCGCATATTATTCCTGTAATAACCAAACGCCTCATGCTTCTCTGGTGTTAAATGAGACAGATACCCTCTCTAATGCTCACCTCGTTCATTTCCCGCACACCACTGAGCTGTGTACAGACATCCTGGAGCTGCTGGATCTGCCGACTCTGAGACTGTGAGAGGGACTGCAGCTGACTGAGCTGCTCCTCACTCTGAGCCAGAGCCCGACTCAACTCGCACACCCGCTGCTCCGACTGACCCAGTGATGCCTCCAAGCTGGACAAGGTCAAAAAGAAAAAAAAACACAGCAGTATTCGGATATATACTGCAACATTTATGTAAAATTATAGTAAAAATGTAACCACTGGTTACATTTTTCTTCTTTCTTCAATTTTTTTTTTTTTTATCCTTTACTATTAACCAACACTTACTCATTTGCTCGATCTTTAGCCTCTTGTTTGTCTTTCCACGACTCCTGCAACCTTGAATAAAAACAAAATAAGGCCTATTTTAAAGCACATGCTGCAATTCAGGGCTTTTTTTTGCCTTTCAAAGTTTACCCTGTTAACAAGTAACCACCAACCCAGTGTTCACTTCCATTTTTAAATTTCTATGCTTGATTTCTTTCATCAATAAGGAGCATCATACTTTGTAGTCTCAGCAGCCAGGGCCTGCTCCAAGAAAGTGTAGGATGCCAGCGTGGAGGAAACTGTAGCAGACAGCTCCGTCACCTTCCTCTCTAGCTGACCCGTCTCTTCTTCTTTTTTAGTCAACTTCTCTCGCAGTACACACATCTCTGGATTTATTTATTTAAAAAAAAAAAAAAAAGTTTAAGTCCATAGGTTGTCAAGAAAGAAAGCATTTTGAAAAAGAGGGAGCGAAATAGCCAGAGAGTTATTTCAGTTTTTACCTGATGTCAGAATTGTCACCTGCAGATTTAAATCTCCAATCTGCTCCCTGGCAGCTTGGAAATTCGAATGAGTTTCATTCAGTTCTGCTTCAATCTGATGAGGTTTTTTTTAAGCATATGAATAATTTTAATCAGACATGTTGACTACAGGTACAAGGCTGTAAATATCCTGAATATAACAGATGCCTTACCTGCTCTCGCTCTTCAACAGCTTGGTCTCTTGCAGACATGTGCTCATCTCTCTCTCTCAAAGCAGCGGCAGCTTTCTCGTTCAGCTTCAGGAGCATGGGAGCAGTTTTGTGCAGAAGGCTCCTGACCATGAAGAGCTATAAACAGATGGCATTAGCATCAACGCATTATCACATTTTAACAGAGCAGTAAATGCTCTAATAGTGAAGGCTGTATTAAAGCACCTAAAGTTTCAACTAAACAACATTAGAACACATTAAATGGAATTTCAAACCGAATTTTAGAAAAAGGTACACTGCAAGAAGATGATAATATTATTATTAATAATAATAATAATAATAATAATAATAATAATAATAATAATCTCACCACTAGATGGCAGTAGATTACAGCCAACTGAATTCTGTTTTCTTACACCACCTAATTCAAGTGCATAATCGTAGCTACAGTGGCCACTATAGGATATACATGTTTATAAAATAAACATAAAAAGACAAAATATTGAGCAGAACCCCAGTGACTTCTGTGTCACCTTCATAAACTCCCTTTCTGCAATTCCTTTAATCTACTCTTGTTTTATCCAGAGGCCGGTCACAGTCTCTTTCGTTCACATTTTCACTCCTTTAGTGAAGGAAACCACTTCTCAGATGATAAAACATAGGTGTGATCTTTTATATCTTGAGTCTGAAGGTGCAGACAGAAAATGCAACTTGCCTCCATGGCACAAGACACGAACGGCAACAAACCGATATGGAGCTTGTCTGAGTCTTTGGCGTGCTACGTATGCAGCCGGTCTGCAGCCGCATACATAAAACATGATTAGCTGATGTCCATCTCGGCCACTGTATTCAACATGGCCAGGCAACACAGGGGCTTCCACAAACCAGCACATGCTCCTATGTATTTTATTTCCAGTTTTACGAGAGCGTATCAATTTGTAGGAAGACATAATTATACACTTCAATGTATACTTATGAGTACTGAGAATATCCTCAACCAAAAAATGACTGACTGTACCTTTAAACAGCACTATTATGTACAGGATGCTCATGTGGTGGATTTTACACCAAAGCCTCGTGTTTTTAGAAACCCACAAACTACAACAGCAGTAAACACCATTCAAACGGAGCCACTGTGCTGCTATCAATGTCACTCAGATTAAACTAAAAATGAAAACATAAGAACTGGAACCAAAACACTGGTTCTTTGTTTCTTTGCCATCATATAGAAACTGCTGTGATACATGTTCATTGACTGTCATAGTTCAAGGTTTTTAGTATGAGCGTACCTCTTTCATCAAAGCGGACTGTTCATCCATGGTTTCAGACAAAAGATCTGAAGCAGAGTCCAGGGTTGCATTATAAGCCTTGTTTAACACAACCTGCATTAGTAAAGACAAAAAGAAACAAAGAAATGACACTCACATATTACTTTAAATACAATTATTGAGCTGTTTATTTTTTGGCTTGTAATCTGTACCAGTTCTGGATAGCTCTGCTTTAGGGTGGCCAGCAGCTCTTGCTGAGACCCCACACTCTTCTCCAGAAGTGAAATTTCTGTGGCACAGTGTGTCCTCAGCTGTTCCATCGCACTGAAAGCCTGACAACACACAACCACACACACATTTAATACCCCTGGAACAAATAATCCTCTTAAACACACAGCCAGCATAACTTCTGCAGATATTTTTATATGCTCCAGAAAAACTGTTGGTCAGCTAAAGCAGAGGTGCTTACACAGTGAGCTATGTTTAACAGACAGAGAGGTTTTTTGTGTCACAAAGGTGGCTCTCTTTTTAACCTGGCTAGATCACCACAGTAACTTATGCTAAACACATTACCTGGAAACGCAACCTTTGAACTGATTCTAGTATGCTTTAACTGCTACTTTTTGCTTAAATTGAAATAAACAGCAGCACTGAGCAGTAACATAAACACAATTTAACAAATTTATCACATTAATGATTCTCGGCAGCATTACTCTGTTATCTTATTTTTCACACTAATGTCCATTTTACTGATATATTTTCCAATAACGTTTATAGATCTCCATTACCCAATGCTCTGAGCACAACCTGCTCCAATCAGACATTCTCAATAGACTTATGCAGAAGAAGAAAGGCAGATAAATGCTCCCTTTAATGTGATTGTGAACAGAGCCTGAAGCAGGAAGCCTGGATTAACAAAGAAAGCTGAGAACCAGCTTCATCTCTCACTGGGGTTTTAGGTTTTGTCAAGCCAGCTAACGCAAAGAACGGCTGGCTGTATTGAACGTGCTTCATAGTACACCCTTCTCCTCAGGAGGTTGCCGTTCCTCTACATTTAGACTAAACAACTAAAACACCCCAAAAGGACTTACTGCCTCCTTTGCTGTGAAGGCTTCTTCCATTTGAGTCCTCATGTCATTTCTCTGATGAAGAGTTTCTTTGACCTTCTGCATCATTCTGCTCTGTATGTCCTTTGATTTCTCAAGTAGAGACTTCATGTGCCCATACTAAAAACAACATGAGAAAAATATACCTCAACTCAGTTGTAGCACATAATCATGTTACACTAACACCTTAAGCCATAAATAACTGATGAATAATTACAAAAACAAGCATACTGTTTAACTTGTATGAGACAGAATGAGGTAACATGCTGTACGTACATGTGAAATGAGGCTTTGATGGTCCTCTCTGACTATGTCACCAATTTCATTCATGTTAGAGAGAGCAGCGTCTGTGTCACTTCTGACAGAAGTCTGTTGGGACAAATACACACACTTTACTCTTAGTAAAGAAAATATTGACTGTCTCAATACACACACACACACACACACACACACACACACACACACACACACACACACACACACACACACACACACACACACACACACACACACACACACACACACACACACACAAAAAAAAAGCCAGTGAGACGTGTTTGAGCATTATATCCCAGTTTAAACAACATGAGCTGTGTGGTTGTTTGTGACTTACCATGGTGATCTTCATGTCTTGCAGACTCTGGATAACGTTTTGTAGAGAACTCCCATCAAGCTCCAACTCCCCAATCCGACTCAAAGCTTCCACATACAGGTCTCTATACATTGTGGTCTAGATATAAAATATAAACAACTGACTACTTAAGCAGTAATCCTTTGTTATATAATGAGATCAGAGTTGAAAGCTTCCGTTTGAGGAATATTTTAAGCTGTGACATATGCGAAACTACTCTAATAGAGTCCAAAAATCTAAATATAGAGTAGAAAATGAGCATAACAGGTCCCCTTTAAACAAAATGTAGATGTCAACAGATACCTGACTGAGTTCGGTGTGGTCTGTCTGCACGAGTTTCTCCCGGAGGTCTGAAGGAGCAGGGCCTGCAAGCGGACGTCCTTGTGCCCTCGCTGCAGTCAGCTGTTGCACCAGGGCCTCAACCATCGTCATGCTAGACATTAACCTCTGTTCCAGCTCCTGTCTTGGGAGGGACTCCAAGCTGCCTGGAGGTAAACTGGAAAACCAATGAAAGAATACTGAGAGGCAAACAAAGAAAATACTAAAAGCAGATTTAGCTTCATCTATACTCACAACTGTTGAATAAATGGCCAATTTACAATGGGCACTTACTTCCAGAGGAGCGGGTCAGTCATAGTGCAGGAATCAGCCACAGAGAATTCCCTCTTCCTCTCAAACAGGCCAGAAGTATTGAGGCTGTGGTCAACCAGTTTCACAGGACTACTGCCCACACAGACACTGTGAGACTTTACAGGAGCAGCTTTGGCTGGAGGGGCAGGAGGTGGAGCAGGAGCAGAGACAGCAGCAGGGCCCATCTTTCCAGACGCCATCATGAGGAACTCTGCCATTTGTCGAAGCTGCTGCTGAAACGGACCATCGGAAATCAGTGGGAAATTCAGCAGTGGTTTCTCAGCTTCAGTCTGAGGCTCTGCAGAGACTTTCTGTCCCAAATCCTTAACTGGCTCCCATAGTGGGCTCAGACCAGGATTCTGACCCAGGGCGGTGGAGTTTAACAGAGGATGAGGCATTGGGCTTTCCAGTTGCTCCGCCCACAACCCAGCACGGTCAGCATTAAGAGGAGCAAACAAGGTTTTCTCACCCTCAATAGCAGAGTCATCAGCTGCAAACTTGCCTTGAGCAGGATCCCCAAAAGTCTTTAAAAAAGACAGAGAAGCTCTCCTAACGGGACTAAACATTCCCAACCCCAAAGCTGAGGTAACCGAGGGACACTCCGACAGCGCTTTCAGTACATCAGTAAGGTTCTCTGCATGAGATTTTTCTGCAGAGTTACAAAGAGCAGGTGCATTTCCAGATGAGCCAATGGCACTGTCTTTTTCCCCACTGGATTCAGTGGGTCCTCTGGTGGAGTTCACTTCAGAGACATGCTCCTCTTGGTCTTGCTGTTGCACTTCCACAGCTGAAGGGCTCTCTGCTGAACCTGCAAGTTGACTGCAGTCAGAAATCTGAGTAGTCTGAACCACGAGAGACAATGCACTGTCAGCAGGATTCACGGTACAGTTAAGCATTTCTTGCCCTTTGCATTTTACAGTTTCAGTATCCAAAGCTTTTAAAGATCCATTAGCCACCAGAGATCTGCTAACAGCTGATGGGTCAGTAGCTACCACAGCTTCACCATTGTTCTGTTGGCTGTTAGCATCTTCAAAGGCATCTTGACAATAATCATGTGTGATGGAAGTGAACAGATAGTTTTCACTGAGGGGACAGATTACAATCTGGTCCTCATGCAGAAGGGATGTCTTCTTCTTGGGAAATTGGGCCTCATCTAATTTTTCATCTTCAGCTGGAATACAACAATCAGCTGTGACACCACCTTGACTCCCAGCCTGGCTATCAGATACCACTGGGCTACCACTGTAGTGTCTGACCATTACATCCTCAGTGCTGTCTGCCAATGCTTCCTGGGTAGTCAAAAGGCTGTCACATGGAGCTGATGAATGAGTCTGAACATTACAGTATGGATGATCAAAGTGACCAACTGTATTATCATTTTGTAAATCACAGTCACCAGCTATTTCAGTTGAATCTATGGCATAGCCATGTGTCTCACTGCTGCTAACAGTATGGTCGGCTGGTAGAACAACGGACTCTTCTCTTGGAATTTCAATCTCTCCTCCAGTGCAGTCCAGTGATTTAAAGGACAGTCCATTAGCACGTTTTTCTGAACCACGTGTTGTCTCAGATAAAGCCTTAATGACAGGATCAACACCACCATCATGGCTACAGTATGGATGATCAGCATGTTCCTCTTGACACTGCTGGTCAAAGTCACCGAAGCAGTTGGTCAAATTTATACTGTCATACTCTAGAGGAGCACCAAGCTCTTCCTTGGGCAGAGGAATGGTTTCGTTGTGTAATCTGGTGGCATCTGAAACTTCCACCTCACCTCCATCACGAAGGAAGGATTTCCAAGTGAGATCTGCCTTTCCACTGCAGTCACTCTGAAAAGCTGTTGATTCTTCTGTGGCTTGTTTGTTATCCAGATCACAAGAAGCCGGTGTAGTGCTGTCAGTTTCACAGGGAAGTGCTGCGCTGATGTTAACAGAGTAAGTGTCACTCTTCTCAAGAACATGATAGGGATGTTCGATGTGATCAGAGCATGACTCCATTACCACACTGTCAGAGATGATGCCATCTTCAGATTCAGTGTTAGATGTACCCCGGTCCGTAGATAAAATAATACTCTCCTCTGCATGCAGTAAAGAGCCTAATATCTCAACTTCACCACCAGCACAAGTGAAGGATTTAAATGTTATATCTGAAAGTCCACAAGCAATCTGAGTAGTTGTTGTATCAGTTTTTGGAAGATTTGTTTGTATCATTTTGGTGGATGGAGAAGAGTACAGCTGGGGTTCTTGTTCACTCAGTGGAAGATCACCCTATTAATGAAAATGAGTAGCGGTTAAAAAACAGCACCACAAAAAGAGAAAAAAAGACAAATTATATTTGTAAGTATTAGTGTATACCCACCATTGTCATTTTGCCAGCATCACTACTGATCTGTGATTTTGATCTGAACTTTGATGAGGGAGTCGACAAGTGCAGAATCTCATTGTCCAGACTTCTCAGAGGGGTACGCTCGCTGGATCGGCTGGAGAGCTACCATCAACAAAGGTTGAATTATCCATTAACTAATATGCTCAGAGATAACACTGTACAGTATGCACAACAGAATACAAAAGTCTTACCAAGCCTTCCCCTGTGGAACTTGAACTCCTGGAAGCCATTACTCTGAAGTTCTCAGAAAACTACGTTTACAACTGGAGGACAAAATCAGGAAGACAAAAGATTTCATATTTTACCAGTTTGATTTAAATGCGGATTAATCTATTTGGCTGTAAAACCAATAGCTCCGAATTAAAATAGTTGGTTTTCCATGCGAGTGCTAAAACAGGGTCTTGCTCCTCATACTAAAGAATTATGTGATTTCAAGGCAAGTTACGAAAGACAAACCCCAGTTCTCCTTGACTGCAAAAACTTTCCGGAATTTAATCACGATCACGAGACTTCAACAGTTTGTATAAGACAAGTTAGTCGGAACTTTTTAAACATTTCGTTTGTGCAGAGAGAGTCTGTTAAGTTCAAATTAGCCCCATCATGACCCCTTGTGTGGATGTTGTCTTCTTGTTATGAAGGTTTCTTCCGGGGCAGAAACAACAGGAAAGACGATTACAGCAAACAACCATGTTGCAGAGTTTAACTGTTGTTTTACGATAGACAATGTGAGAATGTTCTTTAAAATCCTGCACAGAGATCTGCTTGTCGTGTCAAACTAGCTGAGAAGCTCACATACTGACGTGGCGTTACGTATTGGCCTAGTTGACAAGAATAGGCCATTTCAAGCATTAATTTAATAACTTCGAAAATCAATGTGAGAATTCACAGAATTCTAAAATTCACAGAAAGTGTTGCAAAGAGTGAATATTGCAAGGGCGTAAACTACAGTTTAAGAGACCGGTACCAGTCGATAGCTAACCGTAAATTGCACTCACTCTAGTTACTTCTAACAAAGGCACTTAATTAATAGCTTAGCTGTCCGAGGCAAACGCCCTTAAATCATGTAAAAGTATTTTACCTTTTAAATTTTACCAGCTAACGTCAACCAGCGTTTTAACAGAGACGAGGACAGGGTAAACAAATCTTGTATTGAACTACCATCCACCGCGTTTGATTCAAAAACACGAATAGCAGCGCTGTTATTGGTCCATTTCTCTTCTTCGTTGGTTGAGAGAAGCACTAGATGGTTGAGATCTGTACCTTTACTCACTGCTGCCTCCTTCGGGAAAATAATGTAATTGCTACAGCATGTTCCTGTTACTGACAGAAAATTTACACTTTTATGTTGGCTCTTAAGTATATTTGTTTTTTGTATTGTTTTGTTTTATGTCAGCGTTTTATTAAAACTTCGTGTCTGCATAAAAAAATAATATCTGACTCTTCAGTTATTTCCACTGCCTTCTTATATATTGCTTTACAAGCTGGAAGCCATGTAGTTACATGGAAAAATGACCCATAAATCACCCTTTTTTGGGAAACAAGTGTAGGAGCAGAGAGTGATACGTATGCTCCATGAGTCTGGACAATGACGCAGTTTTGTTTAGCTTTGGTGTCTACCAAACCAGCCATCCACCCAAACAATATTTCAGTTCTTCTTTTAGCTGCATCCCACCATCTGCCTAGCATCGTCTTCTGTGTCATCAACAATGACCGCTCTGCAGTCAGAGTCAAAATAAGCTTTATTGTCAAAGACCATATGTACAGTCATACAAAGGAATCTGAAACTGCAATGTTCCCATGGCCCTCAGTGTACACTAAAACAATATAAAGATAAAAATAAAATAGCAGTCTTATGTACAACACAATGCAATACAATACAATCTTATATAAACAGCAGTGTGCAACACAATCATAGTGATTGTGGGTAAGTTTCGGGGGGCTGGGGGGCGCAGTCAGTGAAAAGGCAATGGTGGTGGTTTGGGGGTGGAGGGTTCAGAGGGAAGAGGTAAATGCAGGTCTGGAGTTCGTGTATGTGAGAGCATGGAGTGAATTCAGCATCCTGACAGCCCGATGGACGAAGCTGTGTCGCAGCCCGGAGGCTCTTCAGTCTCCTTCCTGATGGCAGCAAGCTGAAGAAGTTATTGGAGGGATGAGTGGAGTCACCTGTAATGCAGTGAAAATGACGGCCCCAACACCAACAGCGTTTTATAGGTTTTTTTATTTGCGCTGGTTTTTCACTTGGCAACTTTCCAGCTGCCCTGCTTGTAGCACACACAACCATACACCTCAGGTCCTGGCACATCTTTTACAGGGGAGACGTGATCAGTTGATGGAGCTCAGGTGTGTGTCAGCCTCCTCTGACACGGCACCCTGAACCCCCTTCTCCACCCCTCCCCTGCAGCTGAGCCACAAACCACACCCTGCCACAATAACATTTTTGCTTTAAATACAGTTAATAACATGCATCAAGCAGACAAATGTTTTTAAAGCCTTATTTTGGGATAAAGTCACATTTTAAGTGTCTTTCTCATATTTGATTGGTGATGTTATACATGCAACTTTTATGATGTGGTGACTGCAGAAAATAAATATGATAATTGTTCCAGTAGTGTTTGAATGCACCACATGGCCTGGGCATTTCTGTGTGGAGTTTGCATCTTCTCCCTACAACTGCCTGATGGATGGCCTAGATTTTCAGTGTTTCACATTTTTCAGCTGAAGTCATTCCACCATGAACTCAAGTGCCCTCACACAGCTCTGCATAAAACACCACAAATCACTTTCATGCAGTGTGTTTTTTTTCCTCTCTTATATCTGTATTATACAATATTGGAAAAGTCTGTCAAAATGGCACTGAAAGATCAGAAGTGTCTTGAGATTATTGTGTGAATCTACAATGTAAAATACACACTTTTATAAATACTTAGCAAGAAGCTAAGGGGATAATAAAGTACAGAGAAGCAGGAACAGATCAATTAGGGGGGAGGTAATAGAAGCCTGATGAAAGGGAGGAACAAATAAATCATGACATTACAAGATGTCAGTGGTCAGACTAAAGTGGGGTCCCTCCACATCATCTAAAGAGCCATGGACCCTTTTTCCTACTGTGCTTCTACTGTCCTTGCTCACTGATTAAGTCATGAATCTTTCTGTTGAATCATTTGTTGACTCTTCCTGTCCCACGAGGGCCTTCTTGAGAGTGTTTATGAATCTTATATGGCTCTGTGGCCCGTTTCATTGCCCAAAGACAATTATAAAACAACACAGCCTCCTTTCCACTGATGTATCCTAATAACACATAAATTAAAGGACTGTCTCTCGAGAAAACAAGAAGAGCTAGCAGCTAACCCACTCCAAGGATAACCGTTTGCAAAAAGAAGAAAGAAAAGAAATTAAACTCTGTTTGTGCAACTACTTACATTTTTTTCCAAATTTGTAAATACTTTTTAAAGACAAACAGAAAAAAAGGGGCATTTGTTTTTTAAATAAATATCTTATTTAATTATCCAATACAACTTTGAATATACAATGCCTCATTATTCTTCTGTCTGATTTTAAGTAAGCCAATATGATTTACAAATAAAAGTTTGCCAGCAAAGAATTTAGATTGAAATACCAAAAAGAAAGGAACAAACAAGAGGGTGTTTTTGTGTCACATGAAAGGCTCCTCTCTTCAGCTCAAAATCCATCAATGAAAAAGTTTCTCATACTGAAGCAATGTGCGGCTCTACAGGTTTTACCTGCAGCACCTCTGCAAAGCCTTGTCCAAACCAGCAGGTAATGTCAGCCGTGTCAAGGGTGAAGAAAAAGAGTCTGTCCTTGCAGCGAGTCCTCCTGTAGACGGATCGGGGGTCTGCTGACAGGACCCCTCTGATGGCAGCGACTGCCTCCTCTGTACTGCGCAGAAACTTAAACTGGGGTCTGTGGCTTTCAGACAGTCCTGTGTGTTACACAAGTTTGTTTTTCAGTCTCTCTGCTCACATATGAATGAAGGCTTTCACATTAATTACTGATACAACAGTGCCCCCTTATGGAGACAAACATACAGTGCATCTGGAAAGTATTCACAGCGCTTCACTTGTTCCACATTGTGTCATCTTACAGGCTTATTCCAAAATGGATTAAATTCATTTCCAACTCAAAATTCTACACACAAACCACCATGATGACCAAGTGAAACAAAATGCTTGAAAAATAAAAAACAAATATATAGCATGTACATAAGTTATCACAGCCTTTGCCATGAAACTCAAAATTAACCTCAGATTCCACTGATCATCTGTCAGATGTTTCTACAGCTTGACTGGATATGATTTAGAAAGGCACACACCTGTCCACATGCCGTAAGGTACTATAGTTGTTGGTGGATGTCAGAGCACAAACCAAGCCACAGAAAGATTTCTGCAGCATTAAAAGGTTCCAGTGAGCACAGTGAGCTCATTATGCGTAAATGGAAGAAGTGTGGAACCACCCTTCCTACAGCTGACCGCACGGCCTTCCTGGGTAATCAGAGCAGAAGGGCCTTAGTCAGGGAGGTGTCCAAGAACCTGACTGTCACTCCTACAGAGCTCCAGTGTTGCTCTGTGGAGAGAGGAGAACTTTCCAAAAGGACAGACATTTCTGCAGCATGAGACTTATATGGTGGAGTGTCCAAAGGGAAGCCAGTCTTCAAAGGCTGATGACAGCCCACATGGAGTTGCCCAAAGATGCCTAAAAGACTCTCAGACCTTGTGCACCGTCACTCTCCATTCAACCTGACAGAGCTTGTGGGGCACTGCAAAGAAGAACTGGAAGAAACTGTCCCCAAATAGTTGTACCAATCATGTAGCATCATACTCAAAAAGACCCGAAGCTGCCAAAGGTGCTTCGACAAAGTATTGAGTAAAGGCTATGAATACTTATGAACACTTTTGTTTTTTATTTTTAATAAATGTAGTTAATTTCTGAATTAATTTAATGAATTGCAAGCCAACGTTTATCCCTTTGTCATCACAGGGTATTGTGTGTACAATTTTCAGGTGAAAACTGAATTGAATCAATTTTATAATAAGTCTGTAACAAAATATGAAAACAGTGAAGCGCTGCGAATACTTTCCAGGTGCGCTGCATCTCCCATGATCTCAGTCATCTTACCTGACAGGTGTGCAGGGATGAATTCTGCCAGCTCCCTCTCCGCGTGAAGGCTGAATCGCACATCCAGACTTGCGACAGGAGGCTCTCTGATCCAGCCTGCGATCGTAGTGTAGGCTTCCTCTCCGTAGCAGGGATGGTCTACTTCCAACAAAGGTGGTTTAGTTTTAGGAGAGTCTGAACCTCGGTTCTTACTCTCAGAACTTAAGAAAACGTCTTGGTTCACAAAAGCCTTGACCTCCTCCAGCACATTACTGAGGTCTTTGGACAGAGAAAACTGAGCACTGATATGAGATGAACCTGTTGCGTTAGTATTCGTTTTTTCTTCTGGGAGGAGATTCCCCACATAATCACTCGCTGCTCCTCGATCTTCTGTGTTTAACTGCACATCTATGTCTGATCCTTCAGGGAGGTTAGTGCGGTTTCTCTTGTCGTCATTCATTTGGTCAGTGTTTGAATTACAGGGCTCTGAGTCCTCCTCATAGCTCCTCCGGGTGTCGGGGGAGTCATACTCTGGGATATAGGGTTTGATGTCCAGGACTGGGGTGCCTGCAATCATATCAATGTCTGACAGGTGTAGAGTATCACCTAGAAAATAAAGAAATGCATTCATATTCATATACAGCTAAAACATCAACAAAACTAGGTCAGAGTTTAACCAGAGTCTGCTTAAAATAGTGAGATTTAACAAGTGTAACTATTAGTACAAGTGGAAAATTACCCTGTGCTTCAGACAGGGTTCAAGCAACAAATCAGTGCAGCTCCCTCAGAGAAATAACTCAGCTCAGATCAGTACACACACACACGTGTTTAGTGACACTGACCGTGTATTTTGTCGAGCTTTGCCAGTGTTAGGCCCAACGCATTCGGTCGATGAGGACTGCGTGTCGAGTACACACCGACTCTCTGCCCGTTCAGCCTGGGCGGCCTCACTTTGGCTTTGTAGCTCAGGTGGCCGTTTTTGTGGAAGAGAAAAATTATCCTGCAGAGGCCAGATGACAAAGAAAGGCAGATGATGGGAAATAGTGTTTACGTGTACATGCTTAGTTAAAATGAGTAAAAAAATATCTTGCGAGTTGGGTAACAATATTTGGTAACGTGTTGTACACAAACACACACACGAAACCTACCAAACATGGGAGTATTGCTCCAGGCCCACCAGAGCGTGCTCCGGGTTGTTGAAGACACTCGGCTGAATTCGAAGTTCTGCCCTTGAAGGGCCACAAATAGTGGGCTGCCGGGGAGTCCCGTTCTTCACAGAAAAACAGGAACTAATGTAACCAATTGGGACCGTTTGGATGTCCCCTGCAAATGATAAGAATATTAGGGTCAGGTTTTGTAACACAGACACTGTGTCTAACTTGGCCTCCAATTTATCCTTTGCACTCACTTTTATTCTACAAGTGTGTTTTGTTATTTATTTAAAAAAAAAAATATATATATATATATATATATATATACATATATATATGATTAAATTAGTTACGGACTTGATGACACACAATTCAAGTCTTTGGCTTTAGAGCAAAACAAATACTCTGAAGATGTCAACATGGTTTCCTTCTTTCTATTTTGGTCACATTTTAGAGGATACATGACCAACCCTGTTAGCAAAACGACACTGAAACAATGCTGACTTTTCATCTGAGTCATCATCACGGTTAAAACTTAAATTTTAAGGCTAAATTAATGTTGGAGCAAATTTAAATTCCTGATGAAACCTGACAGTGTGGTGATAATCAGTCACAGTGAAAATCAGTGCCCCCGTCTCCAAACCATTCACTCTTGCTGGTATTATTCTGCCTTTGTTCACGATTTCAGCTTTATTACAATATTAACCAATGGTGCAAAACCGATCAAGAATCACTATTCAATGCAGGGTCAGTGAAATTTAAGTTTACAGCACAGGCTTAATCACATAGTTTCAAGTATTGGTTGCTGTGTGGGAAATGATTACCCAAATACATAAGCCAATAAAAAGAAAAAGTGCCATGAGTTTCACTCATTAGCTGACTCTGCACGCTGAACATCTCTGAGCCAAAAGTGTTATTTTGGTAGGTATAATTGACGTATTGTTATAAACAGAAATTTAAAGCAAAATAAAGCCTTCCTGAGTAGTGCTCTTTGTTTTAGGGTTTATTTTTTTCTTCCTCTTTTGGTCACACTTTATAGCACAGCACATCACTAAAGGCGTAATTCTTCTGTGGTTAAATGAAACTTTTAGGTATTTTATTTGACATTACAGTGTAATTATATTTACCTACAAATACTTAAAGGTAAGCACACAAAAACAAGTGGGTAACAAGTCAGTGGTTTGGGGGGGTTTAATAGAAAACAAAGAAATATTTATAATGTAAGTAAATGTTAGAAATGCGTAAGTACAGGCTGTACAATGGAGTGGCTTAACCTTACCCAGCAAGAGTATTTTACAGCAAAGGAGACACATATTATATTGCAAGTTTGTACAGCACAAAGTAAAAAAGGACAATTAAATAATAGAAAAACCATCATGCACATCAACATGATGAATATTAAATAACAACATAAACAATAAAGATGTAAAAATTACAATGTAAAGTGGAAAAATATCGGCTAGCTACAAAATTAAAAGGTAATGACACACTAAAAATAGTTATGTCATAATTATAACTGATTACAGTATAACTTGCATCTTCTTTCCTGTAAAATACCTGGAAGTTAAGCAAGTTTTAATCACTCCACAATACAGCCTGCAACACAAAAGGTACAGCATACATATATATATATATTAAATATTTATTTATAATATAAATCACTGTTTTCCTGTAAAAACATCTCAGTCTCTTATTCTAGTGTACTACCTTTAAGTATTTGTAGGTAAATATATTTAGATTGTAATTTCAAGTAAAATACACTGAAATTCCATTTAATTGCAGGGAAATTGCGCCCTTAGTTGCGGGCTGTGTTACTTTTTTTTTGGTGGAGGGAGGGCTTAGTTTTTGTAATTACAAATGTTTGTGACGCTGGTGGTAGCTACCTCGCTCTAATCCTGCTGGCGACGGTGGTGAAGGTGGTGTAGGTGCTGGAGCTTTAACTTCTTCGCTGAGTCCAATCTTCGACACTACAGCCTGAACCGCCAGCAGCTGTTTGCGATGAGCTCTAATTGCACTGTCTAGCGTCTGCCTGTTAGACAAGATGTTGAGAATGAGCGTGTAATAATAATGGGAACCCTGAAAAATACTAAAAATAAAAAAGGCCAATGCAAAACAGCACACGGCGTTTAATTTGTTTAGTTCTTGAAATAGCAAGAAGTCTCTCGTGAGAAAAACACGTGGCGGTGCAAAACCTACATACCTCAGGTTCTTGATTTCTTTTCGCATCACAGAAACCTGCTGGTTCAGTTTATCCATGTGCTCGGAGCAGCACTCACACAGCGGACTCATCTTACTAACACAAAGACAAAAGACAGCTCTGAAACGGTGAGCTTTTAGCGGCTGTTGTTGCTCCTGAGACCGGAGAGACTTTGTCAACGCGGAAGTGCATGCTAGACTTTATTGTTGGCCAACCAAGAGTGCTGCACGCGTTAAACTGAAACAGGTCGGCTCCTCTGAATCCCCTCTGTAAGTCTGTCATTGCTGTGGGTTCGTTGGTTTGGGATTATTTTTGCTGCCGTTTCGCTTAAATTACCCGTCCATCATTTAAAAATAATGTGTAGTTACATGTGCTGCACAAAACACGCCATGATGAAGGAATGTTTTCTACCAACAGGGGGCAGCAAAGACACGTTTACAGTCTGCTTTTTAAATAAATAAATATTGGCAAACCATAGCACAAACGAAATCAATGTAATGTCGTATATACTCAGTTGTGTTGTCTTTATTGGTACATGTGCATATCCTGCATTTGTCTAGCCCTGAATGGACTAGTTGTTCAACAGGTTTGGCTGTACACAATAAAAAAAAAACAACATAATGTATTGTAATTTTAGGTATTTGAAGTTAACCTCCCCTCAACACCTACAGGGGATCATTGCAGCTTAAGCACTAATGAATCTTTCGAAATCACTAACTAAAGGCTTGTATATTAATATTACACTAACATATGTACAGTCACTGATCACTTTCTTAGATATACTTGTTCAACTTGGCAGCAACTCAGTCCATTGGGCATGCAGATGTGAATAAGATGACCTGCTGAAGTTCAAACTAAGCATAAGAATTAGAAAGAAAGTTGATCTAAGAGTGACTTTTGGTGCCAGACGATTTGGTGTTTTAAAGAGAATGGTCCAAATGAGTGGTAGTTTAAACAAAACTAGCTTTATTGGTCGCATACACAATCATACAGAGTACAGGGAAATGTGTCGTGTCCGAGCTGTGGACAGGCTGGAGACATAGCCGCGCCATTCCAGGGCTTGGTGTTTGACATGGGGGGCCTAGCGAGGACCCTTACTAGACACTGGGAGGGAATCAAACTTGCGACCTCAGCTCCAAAGATGTGTGGTCTTACCACCACACTATCCAGTGTAGGATATGCCTTATTGATGGCAGAATGTCCAGAGGAGCATATAGGAAGTCAACAAGGCAACAAATAACCACTGGTTACAAACAAGATATGCAGAAAAGCATTTCTTGAACCTTGAACTATAGGCTACAGCAGCGGAAGACCACATCTAAGTTAAGAACAAATGGCTGAGGCTACAATTTGCAACAAATAAGGCGATAGTTAATCATTAGTGAAAATGTCTTGATGCATGCTCAATCATCCAGGAAGAGAAATCCCAACAAGTTGATTCTGTTCATCTGGACGTCGTGTTTTCAGTGGGAGAAGTTTTCAGAGACTGAAGAAGTCACTTGGATGAGAGACAAAACATTTCTCCAACTGAAAACACGACGTCCAGATGAACAGAATCAACCTGTCAATTTTTTTATTTTTTTGTTGCATCCTTAAATCAGCTGATTTACAAAAGTAAATCATACCAGGTCACAAAGCTCAGATCATCTCAACCTGGATTGTTGAACACTGTTGTCGAATATTAAAACTCTTCACTACATACACTCATTCAGCACTATGAAAAATTGGGGAAAATGTTGCCTGATCTGATGAGTCTCAATTACTTCTGCAACATTTAGATGTTAGGGCCAGAATTTGGATCCATCCTACCTTGTATCAGTGATTCAGGATGTTTGTGGTTTAATGGTGTGGAGGATATTTTTCATACAATTTGGTCAACTGAGCATCATCTATACAGCCTACCCAACTACTGCTGCTGACCATGTCGACCCCTTTATGACTACACTGTACCCATCTTCTGTTGGCTACCTCCAGTAGGATATCATAATCTCACAAAGCTCAGATCATCTCAACCTGGTTTATTGAACAACACAGTGAGTTCCATTTACTCAAATGGCCTCCATAGTCATTCAATCCAGTAGCGCATCTTTCGACCTTTTCTGTCATTTTTCTAATTAATCAGTTATTACAGCTTTTACGAGTACCTTTTCCATCTCTTTATGTAGTACAAATGAGTAAATTATAAGCACTACCAGTAGCCACTTGCAGATAGGGCTAAATGTTTCACTACACGTGTCTCAACAGATAAGCCACAGATTAAATCTACAGATATGCTGTTCAAACTGTAGACCAAACATCATTTAATTTCACTCACCAGAGAGGAGAGATGTCATATGTGAACAAAATGGTACATAATTATTTCATTTAATGAAAATCGAGTTAATTCTAACTGCATGTGGATGTCTTTCTCAGTCGATGACTCCTATAATAACGACTACTGTTAAATGATGCAGAAATGACTTTTATTAGATGAATAGTAACTTTTACAAAATTCTGTAAAAATAAATCCACAATTATGAATACATAATTACCAGCGATTTATACCCTTAACTTTTAAATAAAGGCCAGTGAAACTGGTTGCATACTAAATTGAAAGTATATAAAAAAAAAGATCATAAGCTTTGCAGTGAAGCGCAACCAAAATAAATAAGCATACAGCTTTGGTTTGAATTCATACATCTTTCAAATAAGCAATGACTTGCCTCATCCTGTGTGTGCACACTACACAAAAAAAGAAGAAAACAGAAACCAACTGTGACGAGGCTTTGTATATATAAAGCAATATCTTAACAGTGCATTTCAGAAAAAAAGTTGCAGTTAATTTCCTGGAAAATATTCCTGAGCCATAGGCTGAGCAGAGACAGTTGGAACTGAGTACACGTTATTTTGTTCAGGCACGTTGATCGAAAGTGTTTCACTCAAATCTAAAAAAAAAAAAAAAAAAAAAAGACAGATAATTTAATAATTATTAAACCTTTCGAACCAGACAATGTTTCAAAGTATTGTTTTAGTGTATTTTTACAACATACAAACCTTCATTAGCGCGTTTGTTGCCTTGTGATGGAGAGACGTCCTCCTCCTCATCTGGGTCCTCAATCAGGACCTGGCCTGGGGCCTCCTTGCCTTGTGACTCTGTATAGAGGGTCTCCACTTGGGGAGGAGCTGAGGGAGGAGCAGGAGTTACAGCTGGAACAGAGTCTAGGGACTGAGCTGGGACTAAGACGGCATCTGGAGCAGGAGCTGAATCTTGGACGGGAACTGGAGCAGCAAAAGCCAGAGTCGAAGCAGGAGCAGAATTCTGCACAAACTCGAACACTGCTGCAGGAGCAGGAGCAGCAAGGATTGAAGCTGGTTGTGATTCCAGCCCAAACAGCGGAGGCAGAGAGCCGGTTATTTGGTCCTGAATGACCACAGCGGGTTCAGGTACCACCACGACTGCAGGAGTTTCCTGAAGTGCTTCAACTTCTTCCTGAACAGCAGACAGCTGCGGTGTGGGTTCAGTCTTCCTGGGCCTCCCTCTCTTCTTTGCACCACTCTTGTCCTCAGCTCTTGATCTTTTCCGTTGGCTCTCCACCCTGAGAGAGCACCGCAATTAACTTAAACAACAGTGGACATTGAAACAGGTCTTTGTGACAGTTTTGCAAAGCTAATAGTACAATGTCCTTGACCCAGATCTGTGGCGTCAATAGAAAAAGCAGAGCAACCTTTGCTTTCCTCTTGCTCCATATTCAATATAAACCAGAGGAGTGATAAGCAGCCAGAGTGCTGATAGTGTTTTCAGCATGTACTGTACTGTACAGTGTTTCAACGCGGGCTACTAAACTTTTCTGGCTAGGACCACCACTTTCTTCTACTGCACTTAAGTGCTGAAATTTGTAGATTTCTCCAAGAGCATAGAGGTAAACATAGGCAGCAGCGCTAACACTGTCTGTGCTTTTACTACAAATTTACCCAAAAACCCACTGGTTAGTTTCCTTCTCTTCTGCTTCGGCCTTTCTCTTCCTGAGAAGGTCCCTGTCTCGCAATCGGCGACGGATCCCACCTTTGAAACAAAGAGCCGTGCACAGAAATCATTTTCATATGGTGCATTAGAAATTCAAAGACAAACTGCATGACTGAGTAATGTGCTTGACTCGTGACAATGTAGACTTTCTTCTCCTAGCTACACACTGGCAAACTTTGAAAACAGACAGATTTGTGATATTACCTAAATGTTGATCAAAGGTCTGTATCTGAGTTAACCAATAGGATTGCAGTGTATGCAAAGACATAACCAGCTCCTTCAGCATTTTGGTGTGGAAATGCTCGAGCAGCCAATTTCCAAAGTAGAGATTAATCTTTAAAGAAATCCTACCTTCCTCCTCATTTGGATTTTTATATTCCAACTCTTGTTTCTCTTGTTGCGACGTGTCCTCCATTCTGAGTCCTGCTATGAATGAATTCAACTCATTGAAGGCGGGCAAGCGCAAAAAAGACGACAGAATAACTTCTGACAGTTTTCTATTCCCACCCCTAGACGAATTATCTGGTTAACCATTACCACAGTGCAGGGAGAGTTCTTGCAACTTTGGTCTTATCATATTTGTAAAGCTGGAGGAGTTGGCACAAAACTGACAGACAGAGCGGGGAAGACAACAGCAGGTTGTGTGTGTGTGTGTGTGTGTGTGTGTGTGTGTGTGTGTGTGTGTGTGTGTGTGTGTGTGTGTGTGTGTGTGTGTGTGTGTGTGTGTGAGAGAGAGAGAGATAGGGTAACAAATATATATGTTGTACTAGAGCTCTTCAGCAGCTGATCTAAAGGCACTGCTGTAGCTTAACAAGAGCAAGACTTTTTTGGACAGTTTCTCAATTAGGGGTCCAATACATGTGAAGTTATTAAGTTTTGAATATGATATCAAGAAAAAACACAAAAGCTCAAAATATTTCTGTAGAAAATTCATAATATTAATCCACAAATCATAAGAAATATGCCTTTTTGGTAGGTAAACCACACTACGGACCAAACAAAATTCCTGTCTTCGTCCACAGTTGGGGCATATACCCATCTTATCGCTCAGATGGCAAGTTGCTCGGTTGGGTTGCGTTCGTAATCTTCTAACAACACATTGAGCCCTGATGTATGTGTGTGTGTGTGTGTGTGTGTGTGTTTGAGACACTCAGAGAGAGAGAGAGGGAGAAAAGAGCTATCCAGTAGAGTAAATAACACTCAACTGCCAATTGCTCCCAGCACTGTGGAGGGAAATGTTGAAAGCTCTCTTTCTAAATGTACTGATTTCTGCATGAAGGTGCTCGTAATGCACTCACTTTTCAACGTCATATGAAGAGAATCTATACAGACATTCTGCACTGGTGGAAGCTATGAGTGCTAAGAAGTGAGTGAAAACATATATGTTTAAGTATTGGTTTTCACACACTCGAATTAAAATCACAAAACACAATCATCCAAACCTTCCAGCATAGTTCCAGCAGTTCAAAAGATCCCAAACTGCACATAGTTAGCTCCTCAGCTAATAAAACTCCAACTGACACATTAATAAACCCCCTCCAGCATTACTGTTACAGCCAAAAGCAGACAGGGCTGTCATTCACACACAGCCCCACTGTTGCACAATGAAATGTGAGGAATGTCAGTGTAGATATTACAGTGCCATCTTCTGGCATTGCTTCTCAACTACCAAACACTGATTTAAAAACAGTGTCTGTGTGTATATATACACTGTGCCTTTAACAAGCATGTGGCCAGAGTTAGGGTATTTGCATTGGTTCCCCTCAGCACACTATGCAAACACATCTTGCTAACATTTATACATTTGTTATATTTACTAGACTTAAAACAGGCTATAATTTGATATGCATTTATAGTATTAAAGCTTATTCACTGATTAATTTAGAATAAAACAGAAAAAACTACAACCATAGTAGATTTTCTACTTCAACGCTGGAGAGTGTCAGGAAGTAAAGAGGAGGGGTTGTGTGGGGTACCCTACCCGTCCATATGTGTATATACAATGCTCTCTTTAAGGCAAACCACATATAGCCCTACTTTTTAGCGGTTGGGGGTAGGAATGAGCCATTTAGTAGCCAAGAAACAACACAATTATTTTTTGTTTTATTACAATGTAAAAAAGTATCGAACATTCACAAGACCCAACACACACATATACATTTTTTAAACAGGCATACGTTATGATAGTTACCTCATAATTACACTGCTTGTCTGTTGACTATAAAGCAGTAATGCATTCGAGATTTCCTGTGACACTTTTAAATGAAGAATAACAAAGTTCACCATGTGACCTACTTTATCGCCGTTTAATTGCTTGGTTGCTTATTTGTTTTGCATACGCTACACGCGTCTGTTCGTGCACATCCTTCGCTGAATAAAACCGACTTCTCAAAGAAAAACCCCGCCGTCTTCACTGAACGACACAGTACAGTAATTTCCTTGCACAAAATAAATTGCACCATAGCACCGTTTCGGGGCAGCGTCATGTTTTGTGACTGCAATGCCTTTTTTTTTTTAGAGGCGATGGGCGTTTCTGGACGCAGATGGCGCTGTTGAGCATATATTTTGTTTCAGTCCCGTTTCCCTCCATGGTTTCCCCTCTCTCCGACTAACTTAGCGTTTGGCTCAGTTCATTATACAGTCCTATATTCTCCCTCCATTAGGGCATCTCTGCCTTTGGACTGAAGATCCCAGCAAAACCCCGAGGAGAAAAGTTTAACTTTCATAGGGCAAAATGGACATGAAAAAGAGGATCCACTTGGAGCTAAGAAACAGGACACCGTCTGATGTGAGTCGTGCTTTTTTTTAAAACCAACCCTTAGTTTTCAGGCTAGCCCCTGCTAGCCTAGCTTGCTACTTTTTTTGCTTTGCGAGTGACCCTGTGTGGCTAACGTAATGGTGACCACATGGGCTTTAGATTGTGTTTCTCATTTATAACGGGGCGGAAAACAGTCGCATAACAAGCCAGAGCCTTTATGCTGGTTAGGATTGGGCGTATAGGGGCAACGAGACGAGAAAAGCTATATTCAGTCGTTACTTTGAAACGGCGATTCCCCCCAGCTTGCTGGCATTATTGCAGTGCTTTAACCGTTTCGCAGCCTCCCTGGTCAATGGTGCACACACACGATTCAGCTCCACTCCACCGTTGTAGCACAATTAGTAAACTTCTTTTTGCGCCTATATGAGGAGAAAGCAGTTTACTGTGCTGCGTTCGGCATTCACAGAGCGGTATATTTTATACAGACCTTGGAAGCCATGTTTGCTGCTAGCATAACTGCTTAAAAAAAACGAGGAGCTTTTTTGTGTAATAATTGCAAAATTACTTTAAACTCTGGTGCTGAACAACAAACGAGTTTTGTAAACGTTAAACGGGCCGTCGCAGATCACGAGTCGTATGTTCACATTTCTGTGGAGTATACGTCTACATCAAACGGCCACAAAGATTCAGGCAGCGACAACAAAAAACACTTGGTTCACGAGTCATCCGTACCTTAAACCGCTAATGGTGAAAATACACCGCAACTCCAAAACCTTAGAGCCGGGAGACACTCAACAAACAGCCAACCGCTGCTGTTGGTGCTGATTTGTTTAAAGACACGTTGCAATCTGTAAGTTTTTAAAGGGAGTGTACATCCATTAATTCCCTCATTAATTCTTCTCTAGTTGTGCACCAAGCTATAGTATCACTTATCATCCGTGCATCGTCTTAAAGACGACGACGATGAAGATTCGCATGCTTATTGAATGAAGCCTGATGGTCCGGGGTTTCAGAACCATTCAGACTACCAGCCAGCTAACTTGGTATTAGGTTCCCGCCATATTACCCCCTTCTCGCTACCGGTCAAAGACAACAAAATCTATCCAGTTGTAAAGTAAAAACACCAAACACGACTACAATGTGCTCCAGTAATCGTTACTATTGTTAAACTTGGCGCTTGCTACCACACAGATGCATGTGTTGGCCAGCGGCTTCATTGACCGAGCCAGGCTGCTCGAATGACACGGAGATCCGGCGCACCGCGCTTCATGCGTGGGCAGCCAAAAGCTCCCCGCTCGGCGTTCCCCCTCGTATCATGCACGAAATAAAATCAATTTAACACCGAAAAACCACTTTCGGTTATATGTAAATAACGCTTATTGCTCATTCTTAATAGCACTTTCCGCCATTGAAGCGTTCGGAGGACTGCATACTGTAGCTCAGGAATCGCCATGTTGTCATTCTGTCGTCTTTGAAGCTCTGGGAGAAAGGAACTGTCTCCATCTTTGTTTTTTACTAAATTTCCGTTCTCAATATATTTCCTTCGCCACTTCGACCTGAAAGCGATGCTGTACCCTCTAACAAACTGCCAATATCGGTCGTTTGCTCGACGACAAGGAATATTCCACTTCCCCCATGAAAGCTGGTTTAACGAAAGAAAAAAAGAATCTCTTTACTAAGGGTGTATTCGCAATCCTTTCCGTTGCTGTTGGGTTGGCTAATGGCGGGCAGACAGACCTCTCTAGCTGCTCCTCTACGGCACGGCAGCGTTTAAAAGGGGCAATGGCTAGCCTGTAGCGAGCTAGCTCACAAAATCATTGCATTTGTCATTAGTGACTGCATCAGCAGGCCATGGGAAGCCGCTGCTTTGCTCTTCCTCGTTTCAAAGAAATCAATAGACGACCTGTAGCGGTCGGTTAAACGAAGCACACAGTGATAGCAAAGTGTTTTTAGATAGAGACTGAGTATCCATTTTGGTGTTTTTAATCGAGAAACGGCTGTCTTTGACGCTTGACAAGAACTTTTTTGGTAACGTTTAACAATGACTTGCGCAACCAGTGTGAGCTTTAACGGAGTCAAAGTAACTCCGCCTTCAGAGTTGTTTTTTCTAATATTTTAAGCAACTATAAAACGCCTGTAATCATTTTACACAAAGTGAAGGGCCATTTTACAAACACCACCACCCACTGATTATTAATACGTTAGGGTTGCTCTGTTCCCCGAACGCCTTTCTTAATGATTTTGTTTGGAAAAAATTAATAATATTTGCAAAATGTATTTTGAAATATTTAACATTTGGTCTGTTTTAAAATACACTTAAGTTCTAAAAGTTTTGCAAGTAGTTGTAGTACTTGCAAATGCATTAAAAAGTACAGGTAATTTTAAAAGAATACTATTTGTTTGTTTTTTCAATCTCAGGTACGAGAACTTGTCCTGGACAATTGTCGATCAGTTGAAGGAAAAATCGAAGGTCTCACAGCTGAATTTGTCAACCTGGAGTTCCTCAGTTTGATAAACGTCGGCTTAATCTCAGTCTCTAATCTGCCCAAACTAGGAAAACTGAAAAAGGTAAGCGGGAGTGATTATTCATTCTCATATATTCATGACAAAAAAGAAAGGAGGGGGGGAAATAAAATGTGCAAAGAACCATCTGGACTAATCTCTCTTTTTACTGTCATTCATTCAGCTGGAGTTCAGCGACAACAGGATCAGCGGCGGGCTTGATGTTTTAGCAGAAAAACTACCCAACCTCACACATCTAAACCTGAGTGGAAACAAATTGAAAGACATCAGCACATTGGAACCATTGGTATGTGTTCACATGTGTTTTGGGGGTCATTTACATGCTACACACTTCACAAATAGTAAACCAGCTAATGCAGTGTTCATCATAATCATTTTGGGAAGTGAGGTTTCAGCAGCTTTGTTTTGATTACTCCACTCATAGCCAAAGGTATTTTAAGGGATAACCCATTCAGTAATTAATGGTCTCGCAAACTTCAGACAGACGGATCTCTGTCGTCTCACATTATCTCATTGTCACATGTAAACTGGAGCCTAGTACCATTACTACCACATTTCAGCGACAGTCTCATCACAGCATTTCTCTTCCCTTCTTGCCAACAGAAAAAGCTGGACAACCTGAAGAGTTTGGACCTGTTCAACTGTGAAGTGACAAACCTGAACGACTACAGAGAGAGCGTGTTCAAGCTGCTGCCCCAGCTCACCTACCTGGATGGTTATGACATGGAGGACAGGGAAGCCTCAGACTCTGATGGAGAGGTGGACGGAGACGGTGTAGACGATGATGAAGATGAAGGTATGAAGTTGTGCTTTGCTGTAGTAAAAATAAGAGCAGGTATTTTTTTTGGTTGTCAAATCCAACGAACAGACCGTAAATGAGGTTTTACCTCTGTGTTGGAACGTCCCATTGTTGTTCAAGAACAATTAAAGACTCCTCGATCATTCATGCCATTGCTCTGGTGACATGTTCGCTCATTATGAAAAATGTGTGCACCGCAGTAGCTTATTTAGAAACGGCTCCACGGCTGAGTAACGGCAATCGCTCTCTCATTTCTGTAAAGTGAAAATGTGAAAGCGATCGTCGCGATTAGCCTCCGCGCGCTCTCACTTTGCGGTCGACTGATTGTTCCTTTTCACTTTTGTGTCGCAGAAGGAGAGGAGGAAGAAGACGAGGACGGAGAGGAGGAGGACTTCGATGAGGAAGAGGACGATGAGGAGGACGAAGAGGAGGTAGAAGGAGAGGAGGATGACGAGGAAGGCAGTGGTGAAGATGAGGTGAAAAGTGAAACGAGCTTGGTGGAGCTGTCGTTAAAGCGGGTTGATGCACGGTCTCATTTTTTTTAACGTGTAAAATGTTGTTCACATAGGAGGAAGACTTTGGTCAGGATGGAGAAGTAGATGAAGAGGATGAAGACGAGGATGAAGATGAAGATGGTATGTAACTTCTTAAAGTAAATTTACTCACAATTTTGGCTCAAACATCACTACAAGAGTCAGTCGAAGTCTTTCGATATGTCTGCACAACTCAAGACTGAGACTTAATTCAGGGGTGAGACAACTTGTTGTTTTTCTTTGTTCTGTAAGATGGAAATAAAATAGACTTATGTCTTGGAAAAGTGCATAAAACAATGGAAAATTATTAACTTATAGATCATACCCAACTGTTAGAAAGCATTAAAAACATCAGAAATGTTCCAAAAATGTCAATCAATTTTGAAACAAAGAATTGAAAAACACTTGAAACCTATTTACATGCATGACTTGACTTGAGTTGTCAAGTGATACAACACCAGCTGTTACACCATGTAGGGCAGTCCCCAAAGTTCTTCACGACTCCGTCAGCAATGTGGGAACCCTTCACCTGGTACACAGAAAATAGATCTATCTTGTCTTCTTGATGTTGCATCTGTTTAGAGATTACTGCTTTAGTGATCACCTGTTACTGACATTTGTCTTTATAACTAAAATAACAGTAGTGCTCAGTCAATCCCAAATAACATGTGATGTGAGAATGTTAGTCACTTAACTAAGAACAAAATCTTGCACGAGGGCGTGACTGAAGATGCATTTCTTCCGCTTTATTTTGTGCTCGTAATCACGCATCGTTATAACATGTAGGGACAGCAATGTGATAGCGACCATTATTAAGCGACTCCCACAGAGTGTGATAAATGCAGAGATTGAATCTGTTTAAAATGGGTGGAGGATTACTGTATTCATGCTTGCAGATGCAAGAATTTGTGTAGTTTTGGCTCCTTGTCACAACAGTTTTCTTCTTTACCTTCAGAAGCAGAAACCGGCAAAGGCGAGAAGAGAAAGCGAGACCCAGAGGATGAGGACGACGAGGACGATGACGAGGACGACGACTAAGAGCTAAAGTTGAAAACGAGAGCCTACCGAGTTACCCCTCCTCTCCCCCACAAACCCGAACGTCCACCCTCCTACAACTCACACCGCCTTTGTAATCCACGTCAACCCCCCTCCCCAGCGCTGAGCTCTTTTTATGGGGCTAGACTGTACCGAATGGGTGGGCCGAGTGGAGCTGCCCCCCACCCCCTCTTTTTTTTTTTTTTTTTTTTTTCTCCCCCTGCCCCCCATGGAACTGAGAGCCACCCAACACCCTCCACCTCACCCCACTCACGGCCCCCGAGGTTCTCAGGCAGCCCACCACTCAGCATTCCACAATTTCACTGTCGATCCCTCTTTATGTATTCCCGTGTGAGGACTTTGGGACTGGTATCTAGTTTTGGGTCTGTGCTTTTAATATTTTGTTGGATGAATAATTTTTGTTGTTGGGTTTATTATTTCTCTTTTGTCTTTTAATTTTTTTTTCTCCGTTCCTTATTTTTCCCAATAAAATTATTGCTATAGCAGCTGTGCAACCAGCGAGCCATGATTTTTAGTGTGGCTGCCTGTTGCACAAATCAAGGTTGTAGCTACATTTTTACTTTCTGTATGACAAAAAAACAACTTTGTAAATAAAATGTTAACATTTTGTGCTTTTCTTTCTTCATGCTCCTCTGTCCCCAAATTATTTCAAGAGGATGGAAGGATAACTCTTCTCAGCACTGGGTAGTACTGGGTTTGACCCCATTTTGCCATCAGAACTGCATTAATTTTTTGCAACACAGATTCAACAAGATGCTAGAAACATTCCTCAAAGATTTTGGTCAATATTGACATGATGGCATACAGTTGCTGTACCAAAATAACTCTGGCACTATTGTTTCACTGAATCACTGAAACAATACAGGATAAATTTATGCTTTCATCGTTGTTTATGACAAATCCTGACCCTACTTCTTTTATCCAATTTTGGTGAGGCTGTGGGAACTGCAGCCTCTGTTTTTAGCTGACAGGAATGGTCTTCTGCTGTTGAAGCCCAAAGAGATGCTCTTCTGCATACCTTAGTTATAACAAGTGGCCAATAAAGTTATGGTTGCCTTTGTTACCCAGAGACCTCAGTTTCCTGTTAGCTGACAGGAGTGGGGCAGAATGTGGTCTTCTGCAGATATAGCCCATCTGCTTCAAGGTTCAAGAGACGTTCTTCTGCATATCTTGATTGTAACGAGTTTGTATTTGCCTTCCTTTCAGCTCATAACATTTCCTGACCGCTGTGTAATTCCTAGAGATGGTTGTGTGGGGAAAACCCAGTAGATCAACATTATCTGAAATACTCAGCCTAGCCTGTCTGACACCAACAACCTTGATGCATTCAGTGTCACTTAAATCACCTCTCTTCGTTGTTCTGATCCTCCATTTGATTTTCAGCAGATCATCTTGATCACATCTAAATGCGCTGGGTTGCTGCCATGTAATTGGTTCATTAGATATTTATGTTGCTGAGCAGCTGAACAGTTGTACCTAACAATGTGGCCAGTGAGTTTAAAACATTATAATGACCAGTAGTGACGTAAGTGGACAAAATGCACCCAAAGTCTTTCACATAAAATTCCTTTTGCCCAGACACAACAGGAAATACCAAATGCAGCAGATTTAAAAGCCAAATCTAAAAAAAAAATTTGCCACCTGTTAATTTTGTTTTTCCTTTCTTTTCTTTATGTAATCTGCTATGCAGCAATATCATGGGGAAAAGAATCAACTGGCAAATTCAGAATGCTGAAGCCTCACTTTGGCTTTGGCTGAACTTAAGAATACATTCCTACACAGAACAATTGCTTCTTTTTGTCACAGGACAAAGGCACTGTTTCACAGCCGATACGAACAGGAGAAACACTTACTGTATAACAATGCATATATACAATTTGGTGTCTGTAAAATAAGAACAGAAAAAAGCCTTTCAGCCAAAGTTAATTTTGGGGGCTCAGAAATCTGAGTTCGACTATTGAAATGGGGACCAAAGTTGGTTTGTGTTTTTTGTCTTTTCCAGCATAAAATTGACTCTTGGTGTATCTGTCTGTGCACTGCAGCTCACTGGGAAATGAAACAGAGAAAATTCAGTTCTAAAACACTGACTTTAGAAAATACCCATTTTGACTTATTCAGCATCATATTTGGTTCAACTGCACTTTGCCAGATGAGGTCTGTGAATTTTGTCTCCGATCATTCACACTGGAATCATGTTGAGAGGGGGCATTTAGCAGCGCCTTTAAATGCACACATGGGTGCTTAAGTATTGTATTAATATAGATAAGAAAAAAAGGTTCCTGCCCCTCACAAGCTTGTAGTTTATAGTTCGTTCTGTAACTAAGTGCAGTCATTTTTCACTTTACAGAAACAGCAAAGCAACCTCAGGACAGAGCCCACTGCTCTGTAACACCTTTATTCTTAATAATAAGACCAGAAATGACAACAAAACTGCATTACTGAATTGTGGAGAGACGATAATCTCTTTTAAAGAGTTTATGGCTGCTGATCTACTCCAGGCTGCCCTTATAAAAAAAAAAAAACACTACCCAGACAATCGTGTACAGATGGAAAATGTTTGTTTCCATGTGCTGCACTCTCAGACTCTCAAGTAATTTGTAGTCAACCGAGGAAGCGGTGCTGTTTTTGTACAAAAAAAAGAAGAAATATTCACATTTTTGTTCATGTTTGATTGACATGTTTTATATTTCACTTATGTTCTGCTCTACTAGAGAATGTCAACAGTCAGAGATAATTTGATTACCTTGGAAAATTTAAGAATTTTAAAAAAATACATAAAATTTTTACTAAATACATTTTAAAGACACAAAATAACTGCATTAAAATCTGTGGAAGTCTGACGCAGTGAGGCTCGTACAAAGTCGGCAACAACCAATAAATGACATAGTTTATTAAATCAGACAGCAAATGCTACAAGTGAGCTACATTATTGCTCCGGCGTAATGTAAGAGACTGTCAGTGTGCATGCTTTAATGCCGAGAGGTCTCGGGCAGGGATTGATATTGCTTCATTTCAGCTTGTCGAGTTGTTTCTCTCCCCTCTGAGGACTCAGTGTACGCCACATTCATAACAGAGCAACAGAACGATCATCATCTGCAGAGTTTTACTATCACAATTTTCAGCAAGAGCAATAATAGTCATCACGGTACCACAACAATGTGATGATAACTTGGAGGAAATGGCAAGAAAAAACACTTATGGAGAAACAACAGTCCCTTTCCCCTCCCTCCTTATTGTTAATTATTCATACTAATGTATGATGTGCGTATATTGAAATTATATTCTACGCGAGTGAGCCATTGAGGGTAAGACAAAGGCAAAGGGTATCAGAGCTGGCAGCGAGTTTTCGATTTTGATGGCCCAGTGACTTCACACGGTATGAAATCAGATTAAACTAGATGCCATTTCTCCACCAATTAAAGCATTGGATTGTTAGTTTTGTAATTAGAAGCTGAAGAGAAATTTTAAATGTAAGGAGTGGGACTTTTGTTCTACTACTACTACACTACTGTCTTTTTGGTAAACCTCTACAGATTAAGATAAACACAGCCCTGTGTGAAAAGTTATTTGTACACTTGTCAGATACTTTATTGGGTACACCTTGCTAGTACCAAGTAGTACTTATGTAAAACATTAATTCTTTGTGGCATAGACTCAGCAAGAGCCTGGAAACATTCCTCACAGATTTTGGTTCATTTCTACATGACAGCCTTACATAGTTGGAGGCTTGTTATCCCTCAGAGCTGGAAGAGCCATCAGATGACAGCTACTATGTAGTTATAAATGAGGATGATATGGTCAGTAGCAATACTTGGTGTTTTAACTAGTGCTCAGTTGGCACAAGAGGGAGCCAAGTTTGGCAAGAAGATATCCCGCACACCACTGCACACTACCAGCAGCACGTACTGCCGATAGGCTACAAAGGTAAGATAGAACTGTGCTTTGTTTATATTCTGTTTATGCCAAATTCTGACCCTACCATCCAAATGTTGCAGCAGAAATTGAGGCTCATCAAACCGGGCAACATTTTCCAAATTTCTGTGGTCAAATTTAGATGAGCCTGTGTGAACTGTAGCCTAAGTTTTCCCATTCTCTGATGGCACCTGGTGTGGTCTTCTGCTGCTGTAGACCAGATAGGTGCTCTTCTGCAGATTTTGGTTATAACGTAACATAAAGTGATTATTTGAGTTTGAGTTCTCTTCTGACCTCTGCCATTAACAAGGCATTTTCTCCCAGAGGACTACTGCTCACTGGGTATTTTCTCCTGTTCAGACCAATCTCTGTAAAACTTAGAGATGGTTTTTGGGGAAAATCCCAGCAGATCGCCAGTTTCTGAAATACTCAGCCCAGCACGTCTGGCACCAACAGCAATGACATGTTCAGCATTACTTAAATGACCTCATTCTGATTCTGTTTGAACTTGTCTATGTGATTAACCAATTAGATATTGGTGTTAATATACAGTTAGAAGGATGTAATTAAAGTCCTGGTAAGTATCTAATCCAATATCTAATTGGTAATTAAACAACCATAACAATATAACCACTTGAGTTTGCCTTGAATGAGGCCTATTATGTTCTTTTCTACCTCCCTATTTTCAGTTTTGGACTTTACTACAGTAGCTTTGCATGATTCACAGTTCTAAATAATTGTTATACTCAGCTTTGGTGCAGTTCCTTCGCTCCCCTCAAGCCAACTTTCTTCTGGCTGCCCCTCAAAACCAAAAGGCTTTGAACAGCAGACGGGTGGAGTTGCTGTGTCCCTGAGATCACCATGTTAAGGACATCTTGCAGATCAAAGAGTAGAAATAAATTCAAACTTAGCATTTACAGATCTTTTGGCTCGCAGGGATCACATGGACACACACTGATCTCAATATTGGATCCTTTGGTTGTTTATTAGGAGTATCCACCACAGTGTGTATATATATATGATGGATTACCAGGTTCCAGTAAATGCAACATTACATTTTAGGTCCTCTTCTGCTTTTATTATACATCTTAATATATTCACTACCGCTCTTATGTGGATGAAACATATAAAGAGCTTCTTTGATAGTCTGGATGATTGAAATCCTGAACGGCGAAACATTTCCTTAGACTAAATGATACCACAGCTGGCGAAGCTCTATTA